TTAGCTGAGAAAAAGTAAGTGACACAAGTGTCAGTGTGCCATAAGTCTCTATTTGTTTTTGAAGGATAAAATGAAGAGAGTCATAAGACATCAAAGGTTTACAGCGGTGTAGGTGCAGCATTCTGTTATTTTTCCAGCTTTTAGCTGCTTGCTAGAAATATCAGAGACAGATCTTAAATATAGTGGGTTCATATTTCTTCCTGAGGGTTCATCTGGCTTAGACCTCTACAGAGATCTTTCTTATATTGTCAGAGTAAGCATATATTCCAGCTGTTTGTCATTTTTTAGCAGTGCATTGTTTATATTTCATCACTACACTGTGTGCATGCAGATCCTTGCAGGCATTATGTCATCTGAGTTTATTATTGGGGTAAGACAGACACAGAACCTGAATTAAGCTGCAAGGAGGACTGGAGGTGGAAGGAGGAAAAACATACACATTGTAAGTTTGTGTGGGATGTTTTAAGCACATTTGCTCTCTGCTCATTAGCTTGAATGTAAAGAATACTTTATTTTTGTGGGGTAAAACTAATGATGCAATTCTCTGTTACAAAACATTAGCTGAGTTTATCCGAAGTCTAGCCTATGTCAAGACTTCTCTCCCTTTTCAGCTGTGTTCACCAGCCACCAGCTGTGGTGCTCATCCCACATTGGTGTTTGGTAGGTTGCATTGGCTCATTAAGATACCATATAAATGTCAGAATTGGTATTAAGGAGGATAATTCGTATTGGGGAGTTCCGAAGGAATTACAGACCAGTCAGTCTCACTTCTGTGCCTGGCAAAATCTTGGAGCAGATTCTCCTGGAAGGCATGCTAAGGAACACGAAAATCAACAAGGTGCTTGGTGACAGCCAGCATGGCTTCACTAAGGGGAAATCCTGCCTGACCAATGTGGTGGCCTTCTATGATGGGGCTACAGAACTGATGGACAGGGTAGAGCAGTTGATGTCATCCTCCTGGACTTGTGCAAAGTGTTTGACACTGACCCACACAACATCCTTGTCTCTAAATCGGTGAGACATCAATTTGATAGGTGAACCACTCAGTGGATAAAGAACTGGCTGGATGACTGCACGCAAAGAGTTGTGGTCAATGGCTCAATGTCCAGCTGGAGACCAGTAACGAGTGGTGTCCCTCAGGAATTGGTGTTGGGACCGGTCTTGTTTAACATCTTTGTCGCTGACATGGACAGTGGGATTGAGTGTGCCCTCAGCAAGTTTGCCGATGACACCAAGCTGTGTAGTTCAGTTGATAGGCTGAAGGGCAGGAATGCCATCCGTGGGGACCTTGACACACTTGTGAGGTGGGCAGATGCCAACCTTACGAAGCTTAACCATGCCAAGTGCAAGGTCCTACGCCTGGGTTGGAGCAATCCCAGTCACAGCTACAGGTTGGGCAGAGAAGAGATTCAGAGCAGCCCTGTGGAGAAGGGCTTGGGGATGTTGGTTGATGAGAAAATGAACATGAGCCAGCTGCAGTGTGCGCTCGCAGCCCAGAAAGCCAACCGTATCCTGGGCTGCATCAAAAGGAGCGTGACCAGCAGGTCAAAGGAGATGGTCCTGCCCCTCTACTCTGCTCTTGTGAGGCCTCACTTGGAGTTTTGTGTGCAGTTCTGGTGTCCTCAACATAAAAAGGACATGGAACTGTTGGAACAAGTCCAGAGGAGGACCACGAGGATGATCAGGGGGCTTGAGCACCTCCCGTATGAAGACAGGCTGAGGAAGTTGGGGCTGTTCAGCCTGGAGAAGAGAAGGCTGCATGGAGACCTCATAGCAGCCTTCCAGTATCTGAAGGGGGCCTACAAGGATGCTGGAGAGGGACTCTTCATTAGGAACTGTAGTGGTAGGACAAGGGGTAACAGGTTAAAACTTAAACAGGGGAAGTTTAGATTGGATATAAGGAGGAAACTCTTTACTGTGAGGGTGGTGAGGCACTGGAATGGGTTGCCCAGGGAAGTTGTGAATGCTCCATCCCTGGCGGTGTTCAAGGCCAGGTTGGACAAAGCCTTGGGTGACATCGTCTAGTGAAAGGTGTCCCTGCCTATGGGAGGGGGGTTGGAACTAGATGATCTTAAGGTCCTTTCCAACCCTAACTATTCTGTGACTCTATGATTCTTTGGTACGATAGAACTCCATGGCTGGCAGAAGGGAAAGAGAAGGTGAATTAGTAGTGATCCTTTTGATGGTACAAATCTTTAAGCTGTAGCACCTTACAGTTCTGATGCTAACTTTGCACAGGCAAATTTTTCTGTGCTCTTGGAATATAAAGGTCAAATACCTACAGCAGGGTTTTAGAACTTACGCTGGCGGTGGCTCACTCTTCCATATTTCTCTTCTAGCATAGAATGGGAATTTGAAAAAGCTGCTGCTTATATGCTGCCTTGGCTTTTGAGGATAGAAAAATGAGAGAAGAAAAAGTTAATGAATTCATTCACATTAGTTCAAAATAGTAACTAATTAGAACTGACATTAAAATGCAAGTATTGCATTCTGTGCGTACCAGGCCTCAGAACCACCAGCAGCATCTGCACACCTGATGTTTCTTTGTATTTCTGTATGAGGGTGTAAGTAGTAATGCAGCAACTGAAGGAAAAATACATCCCCATAGTCTGTATCTCATTTCATACTTGAAAGTCAAAGGATGTAAGACTCAGCGGGTGTCTCATGGACAGATTATAAATACAGGGCCCAATGTTTTCCAAACCAGAAATCTGTGGCAAATGTCTAGGTCCTGTTGGTAAAGGTGATCTTTCTGCCAACAGCACTGGTGCCAATTCCAGGGTGAATGTTGTGCAAGACATGGAATGTTGGACATTGCATTGGTGTGGGTTGATCCTATTTTCTGGAGTGGTTAAGCATCTGAATCTGTTGTTGGAAATCCTACCTCAGCTGTGAAACAGATTTTCCCATCTCCCTTGCTGATTTCCAAAGTATCAAAGTTACTCATCAGGCCTTACTTCTTACAGTGCATTGCTATTTCTGCCCATGTGATCACTGATCAGACTTTCAGATCTCTTATCAGTACATCAGGATCCAACAAAACAAATTAAACTTTAGTTTAACTTTTTGATGCTCATCAACATCTGGCAGTAGTGTCAGTGTTTTTTGCAAGACAGTTTGCTCTTGCTGTTTACCCATCTATCAGAATCCATTTTTTGCAAGGAGGTATCCTGCAAGTGCTTGCTTGTCTGTTGAAGATACCCTCCAACGTGGGCCCCGTGGAGTTTGTCTTCATACAGCATGGAGGACATTATCCAAGTCCTTTTCGGAGTGTTCTGACCCAACTTTTTGGGGTTTAGAATAACTGCTACTTCTTTTAGACACCAGATAACACTGTAGGACAAATTTGATGCTGAAGGACAAAATTTTAGAATATCTTACTCAGCAAATAAAAGAGAGGATCAAATCTTCATCAAGTTGCAGTTGTCAATTATAGCAGCAGAGGATTGGTTATATGATCAAATTGCCCAACTGGCAGTATATTTCATGTATTATTAGCTACTTGGTGCCTCTTTCAGGTTGGCAAAGTAATAGTAGTCTTTGACCTCTGTAGCTGAATCTTGTCATTTCTACCATCCAGATGGCGCATTGATTGCCAGAAAAAGTAAGATTCAGTCTGGCACAGGGTAGTTGCTCTTTAGTCATTGTGGTAATTGTGGGACCTGTCTGCACAGAGTACCAGATCTGATCCAATGTGCAGTTTTGTGCTGCTACTGAAAGAGGAGATCTGGACAGTGTGTTTCTTTCTATTCTCCTTCATCCTGGCTTTAGCACCCTTGTGGTTTGCCAGGTCAGCTTCCGAAGGCAACTTTCCACAGTCACAACTGCTAATGCTCACACAAAAATGAGCTCATCTATTTATACAGTAATTTGACCTTATTGGCCAAAGTTCATTGTGAAACTGAATCTTTACCTGACTTTTACAAATCCTAAATTTAAGCTTGAGAGTTTGTGTTGAGTATATGTTGGTAATTTAGGAATAACCTCATTACAGATCTTGTCACCCAAGGTATTTTTTTACCCTCAGGAACTTTAGAGTTTGGATTCTTTCCTGAGTGAAGGTTGAACACGTCGAAGTAAGAAGAGTACTGTTGAAGGTACTCAGAAATGTCACTGGTGCCATCTAGCATCATTATTTAGTAAACATGTAAAATTCTGTATATTAGTTTTTAGTTTTTAACTTAAACACGTTAGATTGTTCTGTTCCACTAGTGCAACCTATGGCAGAGTTGAAGTCATGCTTTTAAGATTTGGTTGAACACCACTTTTCCTAGAGATTAGCTTTGTTATTAATGACTTTTTTTCCTTGTGGTTGTTATTCCAGCCTTGCTTTGTAAAGTGACTTGGATACCTCCCAAACTATTTGGGGATGAGAAATTTTTGTCTTGACTGGGGACAGGGGCAGGGACAGAAGATGAAATGGAGACTGTTTCTATACTGTTTAGAGTATTCACCTTTTTTATTTTTGTGATGTCGATGTGGCTGTCTTTGTTTCCGGCTTGCAGGATGACAAAAATTTCTGTTCATCATTTTTTTTTCTGTAAAGATGCCAGAATACATTTTTTCAGATATGTGTATTCACTGGACAACTCTTTTATTTTTGCATCTTTTATGAGACATGCTTAGCGACATTAAAAACCAACAATGCCATCAATTGTACTGGTGAAAGTATCTCCTGGCTGTTGCTCAGATAGAGCATGACATTTTTTCTGGCCACTTCCAATTCTAGTACTGTGCTGGACAATATGTATAACCAAAGTTTGCCAACCCTATGGCATCTGTTCATGATACACATGAAATAAGCTCTACGTGAGACAAATGCCTCAATGCAAGTACAGATTTTGAAGTTGCAGTGCTTGTAGTAGAAGCTTATTGATTGGGTGCTGCTGATTATCTTCAGGTAGGTGTTTCTACTAGGTAGAGAGAAAGGATTTAAGAAAAGGTGAGGCGAGAATGTGTGCTTGTACAGAAGTATCCTGCTGTCACCTGTATGTGTTCTCAGAGCAAATGCATGTAAGAATTCTGTTTCTCAGATTATTCGTTTAGTTTTCTCCACAGATAAAATGCTATTTCCTGTTTGATCAGGAAGGGAGAAAAAGCAGCATGGCTTGTGCACCAGGGGTGGTGGTGTTCTCCTAGCTGTGTGTACGGCGTGCTTACAGTTGGGAGGTGCAGAGAGGGTAGTGCTCAATCACATGACAGTGCCTGTCTGGCAGGTGTCTGTAGTGTGAGCAGAGAAACCAACTGTTCACTATTTTGGGTAAATGAGGTTGGCTCTTACTGCAAGTGGCCCCATGAAGGAGTCCACGCATCTGTTGATAAGCACTGCTCTGCATACTGGGATCCTGAATGCTTATAGCCGCTTGCTGAAACAGTGGCGTTTCTGACTGAGCTTTGAGATAGTAGGAAGAAAAGTTTTGCCAAGAGCCGTGCTGATTTTAATCTTTAGATGTTGGCTGTCAGGATTTGTCTGTGCCTCAAGTACCTCTCTGTTCCTATGCAATCACAGCCTTGGAATCTAGCAGTAAACTGATTTTTTTGGTTCACTTTACCACTTGGTGCAGTGACTGAAACCTGGTAGAGAGGGACTGAGGTAAGGGTTTCTTGTGAGGATTAAGCACCCCTTCCACTATCCTGGGACGCCTCCTGTGTTACAGCATCTGTCTTCAGGTCCAGGGATTTCCTCTAATATGTTGGATAAAGCCAAGACACTGCAGCCTGCCTATGTTGGGATTGTGCCGCTTGCAGAGACTGTGTCAAAGCAAGGGAAGAGCTATTCAAGCACGTATCAAGATTCATACCACAGTTTACGAGAAGGTTAGCAGGCTCTGCTTTCTTTGTTGTAGACATTGTATAATTAGTTTGTGGTTTATTTGTTTGCATATTGAACCTGCCTGCTTTTTCTTTTCTGGGCAGTAGTCCAGATTATGGGTTTCCCACTGACTCCTGTGACCTGTTGTCCCCGAGCGCGCTCATAAGCATGTCACTGGACAAGGTTGGAGCTCTGTATGTAGTGACTTGCAGTGCTGGACCTTGGGACAATTCCACTTGCATTTGGAAGTTTTAATTTCAGAATTTAAATTTCTTCCTCTCCTCTGTGTCTATAGGGCTCTTGTGAGCAATGTTTTAAGGCTGCTTCATTAAAGGTGTAAAGGCTTGTTCTGGAGTGGCAACTCTGCCTTGAAGGAAATAGAATATCATAAGTTTCAGTGTGGTGGTGTTTGGAGAATGTGAAAGGAGTGGGGTGTGTATATGTAAGTGTGATTCTGTTTTAGTTAATGGTATTCTCCTGCAGATACATGTGATTTTCAATGGGGGTATGACAATTCTGAAACATTATATGGATAGTTGGAGGTCAGATTTAAGGGAGTGATATCTATGAGGAAGAAGATCTGGAAGAATTGAAGAAGAAAGCGAAGATGAAAACAGACAGTGGTCCATTCATAGTGTGCAGCATAATAAATAGCAACAAACAGGAACCTGGAAAAGATCGCAGAGAAGAATGGCAGAACATAATAAAATGCCAGTGGCAAATATAACAAGATTCATGTTTTGTCAGGAACACTGGGTCCATCTAGCTACAGGTGAAATTTGAATGGAAACTTGCAGGAGTGAACCAGGATCTTGAGCTCAGTGGCCTCAGGAATAAGGTGATAGGGAATTTCAGCTCCAAGTACTGTGAACTGAAACGAGTGGAAAATTGCTTTCAGTGGCATTTGGGACAGAAAAGTAAAGGGTGGTAGGAGTTGAGGACAGAAAGCCAGATAAAATAAGGCAGTGTTTGTTGTGGAAAGATAGCCAGTGTGTGGAAGATGATTGTGTTTAGAAGATTTTTCTCTCGTATGCAGCTCCAGGCCTGCTGAGGCTGCCAAACAAAACTGTTAAGTTTCTACCCGCTATTGTCACTTCCCCTACCAAGCCTCTTTAATATATATCAAGCATTAGTTTGTTATTAGATTTTTAAAATATACTTGCCTTTTTTCTTTTTTTCTTTTTCTCTTTTTTTTTTTTTTCCCATTGGAATGCTGTTTGTTGAACAAATATGGAAAAAGAAAAGAAAACTGAAGTCACAGTCCTCAAAGTCAAGTTTGGGAGTTATAAATCCATTGGTATAGGCAGTATTCCCAGATTATTTTGCTCGGGAGGCAAAGAACTGCAGCACATCAATCTTCAGAAGAAAAAAACAAACCAAATAAAAGAAGTCAGAACTTGGGTCTGTCTTGTATTTGCAAGGCATTAATTTTCACAGAAGGTGAGCACTCTGCATTTGGATGTGCCAGGATACAACTTTTATCCAGTCCCTGCAGTCACTATCCACAGGCTCTACAGGGGGATAACATGTGGAACTACAAAAATGCAATTCTGTCATACTTTCATTATTACAAAAAATGTTTGTGGGTGTCTCAAGTTGAAGTGAATTAAGGTAATTGAATTCTTGTATAATTCTGAGTATTGAAAAAGCTGTGTTGACTCTGCAAAGTCTAGCAATATCATCAGCCTACCCTATGTCTAATGCATGGTACTCTATGTGATGAGGAAAGCGGCTTTATACCAGCTGCCAAATGAAAGGTAGGGAAGAGAAATAGATTCTTCCAGCGTCTTTCATTTCAGAAGAGAAAAGAATAACCCTTTGCTCCATTCAAGTCTCCTGCAGTCTTGGGGTGCCTGTTGTATTTATGCTGTAGTGTGCACTGTGTTTTCCAGAGCCGAATCTTCAGGCAGCGGAGAAGCAGATGCAGTCGTGTGAAACCTTAAGGAAGCTCTTCAAGTCCAGAATTAGCATTCAGCTGAAACTATAATGATTGTAGTACCCTAAAAATGGGACGGCTTAGTTTTGTTATCAGTTGGGACATCTTCCTCACTCTTTACCACACACAGGTGAATTAGTGCTGGTCTACTTTCTCCTTTTAATAAAGCCAGGCAAATAAGGGATGTTTGTATTACACCGACAGTGCTCATACCTTAATGAATCTCATGAGAAGCAGCTGCCTGGAACAGACTTTGTTTTATTTCCTTGCTTCTAGAAAACAGATGGCCTCCTAAATCTGATTTATAATTTTTTTTTTTAAATTGGGACTGGACATTGAAGTTTGGGAACTGGTGATCTTTTCCACACAGAAATGGATTTGACATGGGGAAGTCAAAAAACATATGCTTGTATTTTTAAAAGTATGTGTTGGGGCAGTTATTTGTAAAATTCCTAGAATTCAGGAATCTATAAACATGTTTTCTATTCAAGAATGCCTTGGAATGATTTAGTTTTTAAATACCAGAGCCCAGTTTGCAGTTTCTAGACCAGTCAACACAACAGTGTGATAGCCCCTCATAGGAGATACAAAGAGAGAATTGCAGAAAGCTGCTTAAAAACCAGTTAGCATTCATGTGAGTCTAGCTTAGAATTAAGTACTTCCACAAGTAAATTTCAACAGTAAATTCCAACTTTTCCACTTCTGTCCTTCATTCATTGCTCTTAAATGAAACACTTTTTTGGGTCAAGTCCTCCCTTAAAAAATGTTCAGTGTGACTCAGGGGGTGACACTGAAACTCACCTGTCTTTTTCCAAGATTTGTGTCTCAGGGGCCAGACACACGAACAAGTTCCTGCATGCCATCCGATCTGCTGTAGCTGTGTGCACATTCTTAGTCCACAGCAAATGGCAGGTAATTTGAGTTAGCTTAGCCTTTGATTAAACTATTAATATCTGTTCAGTACTTTGAAGAGATCAAGAGTCATGCAAGTGTTGTTAACATACAGCTTTCTTCATGAGTGACCTAGACCTTATTGTCACAAATGCCACTGACCAGTTAGAGCTGGTCAGTGGCCATTCCTCTTCCAGTAGAGGGCAGAAGAACCTGCATGAGTAGACTTGGAAGCTTTCCACACCAAGGAGATCCCCAGCAAGAGAGCAGCCCCTGCCTCTGAGGCACCTGCACAGGAGCGTAGGGTGACCTTTTCCTGTAAAGGTTGGTCTGTGTCTTTCTACTTCAGAGTGGACAGGAAGGTACTGTGGGGGATGTCAAAGCAGTGTCTCGTGCAAATGCATGGGTAATGCAGGTCAGAAAACAGTCACAAAATGTAACAGACGCATCTCCGTATTATGGCCAGATATGACCCACAATTCAGAATTATTTATATGAATAGTGCTCTGATATGGAAAGACATAAAAACCAGTCTGCTGGCACTTCCTGTGGCAAATCCAGAGGTGCACCAGACATACGTAGCCTCGTGCTGCAACTAGTGTTTGCAAATGTGTGGCACAGTGACTGTGACTACGCTTAAAAGTTAGGTGGTGCTATGAGGGAAAGATAATGATATATTAATGTGAGGTGGATCAAAGTTGGCAGTAAGACAGCAATTTAAATTTAGTTCTGCTTAATTCCCAGTGTGCCTCGTTCAACTGGGAAAAGTAGAGGTGTTTCAGGGTATTTGCTAACTTTATGACATGAGTGGGAAGCTTAGGAAAAGGTCTAACACTGAATGACCAGGGCTTTTATAAGTCAGTCCTTATCAGTGGAAGGAGAGTCAGCATTATCCCTGGAGTCCTGCTGCCTTAATGTGTTTTTGGTTTTTTGGATATGACATGTTTTTCTCTCTTGGAGTTTACTGAACTATTCCTGTCAGTGTAATGATCCCCAGCTGTTGCTTTAGCCCTAGCTATTTTCATTCTGGGAACGGGAGGAGGAGGAGGAAGAGGAAGAGAGGGACAGAGAAAGGCTGGCTTATTTGCCACACTGTGATCTATTTGTCAAAAACCAATTACTATAATACTTTCTTTAGCACAAACTAATGCAGAAAGAGTTGTGGATTCAGGTCTGCAGGAGCAAGAAGATGTAAGGACTCAACACATGCAGAAAACAAAAAGAATAGAAACTGGGTGTGGTGTGATGAGTACAGCTGTCAATAGCATTTATGCAGGCAATGCTTTGAACTAGTAATGATACCAAGTAAAATCTGCAGTAAGTACTTTCCTGTTCTGCCAACTGAATTTTTTTCACAGTTGAGCTGAGCTTCATATTCAGTGGCAGTGATGCTTGGGTAGTGGTAATGCCAGCAACTGGGAAACATATTAATAAAGCTTGGAAAAACTTGTGTGGCTTTTTAATTATTCATTATTTGATAATTAGCTGCTGTTAATTTTTTTTAGAAGAAAATATCTGTATTTATACTTTTAAACAACAAATGACTGATGTTTCCCTGGAACTGAAAAGCAGATGCCTTTTTGAAAGCAGAACTAGGATAGTTAAGCTCAGATTGCCTGTTTTGCATCCAGAAACAACTTCTGCAGTTAACATGCTTGTTCAAAGTCTTTGCCAGACAGATGTCAGTGTGACTCTCCTGCCTAAAGAAGATAAGGGTCAATGACAGTTGTGGTTTCTGCTCATGTTTTTGGATCCACATCAGGTTGCCTGTGTAAATCTTATCTTGGTACTTCTATCATCTGTAAGGTCTGTCAGTAGTCACCTCAGATTTTTCAGTGTTCTGTCACACCTGCAAGTCATTGATCAACACTTATCGAATATCTGTACCAAAAATAAGTGCCTGCTTAGGTCTTCCCTTTCGTGAGTCAACTCCCATCTACCCAGTCTTTTCTGAGCATTGAATTACTAATTTTGTCACCTGCTGCATCAATAAATTTTGATCCAAAATGTTAAAGCAGCACATTTCTTGGCAAGAACCTCTGCAGCCTGTGGTAGAAAATGGGATATGGGTCCTGACATAGCTTAGGTTTACCAAATGAAAACATGCAGAGAGCCTATAGGGAAAATCGTCTTTTTTTTTTCTTGCAGTGGGCCTGTAAGTGGATGCATAATCTGCTG